AAAACATTTATGGTAATGTTTTGTTTTTTCTTTAAGGAAAAATAAATCTTAAATTATAGTAAGAAAATCAGGGCAAAACCCTAACAATATGTATCTAGAGGCACCGTAATATAGAAAAATAATAATTTCACGGCTGCTATCTTCCATGGAGGATCTATCATGGGATTAAGAGCTCAACACGTGAAATGTTTTCCACTGTTAAAAGTAACCAAACACGTGCAACCATAAATCAATTTATGATTTTCCAAGGGCCCGTTTGGATATATCATCCACCCCTCTAACTTTGTTAAGTTTAAACAAACAAACAAACGTTCCTCACAAAAAATTGACTATTTTTGTAAGTAAGATGCTTGTTTAATTTTTTTTATTTTTATCAATGATAATATATTTTTTTTATAGAAAATCACAAATTTTAGTACCACTTGATTCTCGATATTATAAAATGATTTAACGAAGAAAATCTTAATAGTTCAATTGAATTACGATCTAAATAGGGTAATGGTTCAATTCTATACAGGGAATTGTCCAATGATTCAATAATCCAAACGAGGCAGAGTTATCGTTGTCCAACTCATCTCTCTTCGTTCGACAAATGGCACACTATTTCTTGTACGTATAATTCAGCCCTCTCTATATACTTTCACTTCTCACTCTCCCTCACCATTTTCCTTTCATTCTCAGGCGACCCATCGCTGATTTCCACTTTGTTTATTTATCTTCATTCGCCGGCGTATAAGCCAAATAACTTAAACAGTTGAGGAATTTTAAACAAAGATATAGAATGATGTCTCTTTCTCTTTCTCTTTCTCTTTCTTATCCTACACACCATTTTGCTTCCTACAATAAACAGCTATGCGCTTCGAGATCTCCTCAATCTCATCACACTAGGATTTCTCAGCACAAATTGCAGCAAAGCTCCAGTTTTCTTGGAAATAACCCTCTCAGGTTTGTTATTTGATTGATTTGAATATATTAACCCCATTTCAATTTTGGTCTATCTTTACCATTTTCTTTGATTGGTGGGGTTCTGCAAAATCCCTTTTTGCACGTGTTTTGGGGGCGTATTTCCCTAATTTTGTATCTTTTCCTCATGGGGTTTTCACTGTTTGTTTTTCTTTCTTTTACAGAGTTCCAATTGATCTAAGTGGAGATAAGATGAAGAGACGTGGAGGAGTGGTTTGTTCTGCTGCTGCTCTTGCTCCTAGAAATCTGCAGTGGGTCTGTACTATTTCCTCTGTGTAAGTCTCCTTTACTTCATTGCGCTTACTGGAGTTGGTGCCAAGTTTGCTTTATCGTTTGCTGGTAAAATGGGCCATCTAAAGATCTGATTTTTCTTTTCCATTTTGACCAAGTGAAATTAGGAGTGGTATAAATCTAGTAATTTACTCCCAATGGTGTGGTATGAAACTTTTTTTAGCACAGTGGATTTTTATTTTTTTGGAACAAGATGGGAGTGACTTCGGTGGAAGACAAGATTTGGGAAGCAAAGTTGAGATAGTTTGGGCATGTGATGAATAGATGCGCGGATAGCAAGTGTGGAGGTGTGAGCGGTTGTCTGGATGGGTTTATGAGAGGTAGAGGTAGACCAAAAAAATATTGGAGAGATATGATTAGATAGGACATGATGAAGTTGGAGTTCACCGAGGACATGAGATAGGAAGGTGTGGGGGACACGGTTAGGGTAGAAGGGTAGTAGGTAGGAGTGTATGGACTTGTTGTCCATTCTAGTAGTCGTAGTATTACTCTTGTTTCTTGTTCTTCAATTTCTGTTATTATATGTTGTTTCGTGTAGTTTGATTATAACATTATTTTGTTGTAGTAATGTTCTGCTACAATCTGTAGTTTCTTTTATTTCCATTACTTCTTTTTTCTAGACTGTTTTTATCTTGACACGGGGTCTACCTCTGAGGTAGAGGTCAGGTCTGCTTACACTCTACCCTCCCCAGACTCTAGTTTGTGAGACTACACTCGGTCTTGTTTTTTTTGAGAAAACTTTTTTTTTTATGACAAGGGAAACCCGCAGCCGCTACCCTTTGGGTGCGCACAGGGTAAAGCCCCCGCTCCTATGCAATAGCTCGCAAACCACATAGGAGAGGTAACCCGCACTAGGCAAGCCCGGTGCGACGAGCTCGACCCAGAAGGCAAACCCCTTGCTTTCGCTGGCAAGGGATTTCGAACTTGAGACCTCCAACATGGAAGTCCCAAGCCCAAACCACTGGGCCACCCCGAAGGGTACTACACTCGGTATTGTTCAGACAGTTGAGTGGAACTCTAAGTTCACTTAGGTAAATGAAGCCTTTGTTTTTTGTATGAGCAAATACCTTATTAGAGTTCCAGCACCAATGAGAACCTTGTAGACAAAATAAATATACAAAGTTTAACTCTTATTTTAAAGTTGTTGGGAGCATATGAAGTCCATCAAAGCATTTACATTATTCAAACTACACCAAACATCAAGATGTAAAATGTGATTAGCAAGAGAAACTCCCTTAAAACACCTCCAGTTCCATTCCCTCAATAAGGGCCAATACAATGCATTATGGAATGTAACAAACCTTTCGCAGAGAGTTCTGTGGCTTTCTTCCCGTTCAACTACAATATGTATCTCTAAAGAATTCGGCATTACCATTGGATCCCAGGTAAATTTACAAACATATTCTGTATGTCAGTAGTCACCTCAGACTGTAGGAAAAGGAGATTCTGTCCTACATATCCTTCTCTCACATTTATCACCTATTTGACAAATCCGTTTCTCTCTTCTCAGGTGTGACACATGCATCATTTTGTGCTGTCCAATTAAAACAAGATACTTTTAGAGGAACCTTATTTTTTCAAATTAATTGCCAAGACTCATCCCTCTGGTTTATATATAGTAACACCTGTATATAGTAAACCTCTTTTGTGTGTCACTAACTCTTCCTTTTCAATTATCCTGTTTTCTCAGTTCAGTTGTCAGCAACAAGGTAACCTCTCCAATTTCCTGTCTTGAATCTCCTATGATGTTATCCCACCTATTATTTTCTCGACAATAGGTAATTATGCATTAGGTCGTGATATGTAGCTGGATACGTTTGACATACCTCCTCACAAGGGATGTGACTAAACCAGTATTCCTACCAAAAATTGATCTTCACACCATTTCCCAATTCAACTTAAACATGTTGACTCTGGATTCTTCTCACAGGTTTCTAATATGCACCAATGATCATGTAGATAATATTTCCATCCATATGATTTTAGGTCTATTTGGTGTCCTTTTAACCCCTTCAATCATCACATGATGGCACATGTTGACCTGTGCAGGATGTGGCGAAACCATCTCATTTGACTTTCTCTCATTTTATCCTTGTGTTCAACTTGGACTTCCAAAGTTTCCAGATTACTTGATGATTAAGGGCCACTTACAGGCTAATGTACAAGCTTGATCGTAAAGAGCTAATTTGTTTTAGATGTCCCTTCATATTTTTGATGTAACTACTTAGGAGCACACTATTGGTGTACTTCCTTTTGTTTATAATACCAGTTAACAATCAAAAAAAAAAGAGCTAAGGTGTATAAGGAAAACAGGTTGCTGGTAGCACCACTCGTTAGAATTTCGAAGCATCAACCAGGAGAGAGCATTGGCCCTTGGCATTGACACATTAGTTTTGTTTGCCACACACTCTATCGTTAAGGCTTGAGTTAATCCAACACTGTACAGATAGAAAAGATAAAAAGAGTGGGACATGTCCGGAAGTCTTTTTTTTATAGATTGTACACTTGTTCCCGTCATGTAACATTAGTTAATATCATTTTTAGGGATTTACTGTTTGCTTTCTCTTTTTTCTTGTGTCTGACCACATTAATTTCTTTGTTACAAGTGTGTAGAATCTCAGAAAGATTCAAAGTTTATGCCCTTGTTTTATAAGTCTTGTATAATTTCTGGTGAATAAACTATCTTTTTTTTTCCTTCTAAAGTAAACCTTGTTCTGCATGCTGTACCATGCTTTGTATATTGCAATCTCACAGTCAAATGGTTATTTTTAGGGTTCTCATGCTTGCGAAGGGCACTGCTATTCACAAGTCTTTTCTTGTTCCTTTATTTGCTTTACAAGCTCCTACGGCAGTTGTCTCGTGGATCCAGTAAGTCTATTAGCATCTGTGAAGTAGCTTGTGCTTACTTCATTAAGCTGAATGTTTTTGCAGTACAGCAAACTGACGATAAATGACTTTCAGGGGTGAATATGGCATTTGGTCAGCATTTTTGGCACTTCTTGTTCGTCTCTTCTTCTCCTTTCCTGGTTGGTTCCTTTATCACGTGTCTATGGTTTAAACCTCAAATCTTGAAAATTGACAACCTTGTCTTTTGCTTTCTGTATTTTGTATGTTGTTGGATAGCATTATCCAGCCAATATTCCCTCAGGAAGCAGGCTATTGAATTGTACCCAATAATTTCCTGGTTCTATTTTAAGGCGAAAATCTCAGCCAATGTTTGGGTAGGAAGTAAGAAAATATGCCCAACTTTTGTATGTTTACAACCCTTAGTGAATTTAACATTATAAAGTCATAGTGGGAAGCAGAATATGTATTCATGCTGCTTAGGAAAAAATTGTGAATGGACATAATTGAAAGTTTGACCCTGTTCTATGTTATCAAAGATGATAAGGAGATCATTATCTAAGGTTGTAGTCAAGGGTTTAGCTACTCATTTTCTTTGGACGCTGTTATGTTTTTAGCTACTACATTCAATCATTTAGATGATTTTCTTTGAAATATCTGACTTTGGTCTTGATCATTTGTAGGTGAACTTGAATTGCCATTTATAGCATTATTGATGGTAATTGTGGCTCCTTATCAAGTTGCAAACCTAAGGTTGGTATATCCTTCTCTATAAATGTTACTTTCTTCTGATAGACTAGAGTTATATCTGGTTCATATTGCTCTTGGCAGGGGGACAAAGGAAGGTGTCATTCTTTCCTTGGCAATAGCAGCTTATCTGGGTTTCCAGCATTTCACACGTGCTGGCAGCTTGCAGAAGGCGTTTGATCAAGGTTCAATTATTGCCACCCTAGCCATCATTTGTATTATTGCTGTGCCATGCTTGCTCTTGATTTGATGTTAAACTACAGTGATTTCTCAAAGGAGTCCTGTAAATTATTTGAGTCATTTGAGGGTTGGAGATCACACAAATAAATATCTTTCTTTAAATCCCTCGTGTAAATTTCTAGCTGTTTATCCAGTCAAGTTTTTGGGACAAATTAAGGTGAATGTATTTATACAGGAATAAATTAGATGAACAAGCTTCCATTAATATCTTATTAATTTCTATACTTTGGGCAACATCTGGTGCTACTTATCAACGAAACAAAATGATTCTTATTTTGGGTTTTTCCATTGATGTAAAGAAAGAAAAAGTGTTTCTTTGGGCTATCGCAAGGAATGAGTTTGCAAATTCCAGTGGTTCCTCCAAAAGATAAATAACCTCCTTCCAGATTCTACTTGAAATGTAAAAGTGTAAAAATTTACAAAGGGAGTAACTGCTTTTTGCTTAAGCACAGGGTTGGCACCACTACCATGCAGGTCAGACCTGCACATATTTTTGTACGTTCATGTTTCTTGAAGAGTGAGTGGGGCTTGCAGAGCATGTTTGCTCAATTGAAGTCTTCACATTTTTACAATTTTTTTATTTCTAACATGAGTTAACATTCTTCTGGAGTAGTTCAAATATTCTAATTCAATTATGTTATCTCTCTAATGTTGTTGTATAAAGAAAGAACTCTGTCTTGTTCCTTTTGTTTCTGATAATGTTAAGTAGTGACTGCTGCGAGGAAGAAAAAAGCAAACGCATAACAAAAAAGAGGTCTAAGTTTCAAATGATTCTTCAAAACTTAGTTGTGTTTTTGCAATTTATGTAGTGAGCTACTGTGTTCTCTGTATCTTGGAAGTGGCATACCTCATATGCCATAGTTTGGAGGATAAATGGTAGATCTTATTAGTCTCCTGTTGATGGGTCACTTCCCGGATTTTGTACATGACTCTTCATTGAAATTCCTAAAATGAGATATCGTGTCTAAAGTATTTATTAACTGCAGAAATATTTTAATAGAAATTGGCTACATTAAGATGTTCTTCACTACGTACTGTCTTCCTACTTGGGCTAAAAGCCATAAATGGACGAAGTACAGCAAGTTTCATGTGTTGAATGCCATGAGATTTTCACATCTCATGATGATTATGCTGTTTAGAAGCAATGGGAGTATGGAGACAACTAGTGTCTTCTTGCAACCCCTGTGAACAATGTCTTGCCCAATCTGTTTAGAATTGAATTGCTGTAACTGCCACCAGGAAAGAGGCCATGGCGAAGAGAAACTGGAAGTTGCTTGATAAATTATCTGCTCCACTGGGGGTACCTGTTGGTTCTGCACCATAATCTGTTGGTTCAGAACCAAAACCATTCGGGCCACCTGGGGTGTATGGATTTACGGGCGTCATAGTGCTGCAATTCCAAGGAATCAGACAAACATCTTTACATTTCTTGGTTAGGAGATAATTTAAAACTCAAATAATTTCAGATGGTTTATACCTTGGAGTTGGAGGTGGCAGAGAAGGAGGTGGCAGGGTAGGGGGTGGCTGTGCAGGTGGTGTGGTAGGGGTTGATTTTGATGATGCATAGTGACAGTTCCCAGAGCCTGCAGTTAAGAAAGAAAATTAGAAGCTTTGCCAACTTTTCTGGATTAGCAGATTAAAGTACTACTTATATGTGATGTTTAGCAGCTTTAGTGCTGCAGTCTTGTACTTACTTGGGTCAGTATTAGTAAGCTGTGCTGTTCCTCCAAAATCACAGCTTGTGGGTGCTGGATTCTTTTGGTAGTAGTCATTGAAAGCATAGGAAGCATGGTCTTTAATTGTGTTTGGTTCGTAGCAGCTTCCACCAGACTGAATAGTTGAACAATCTGCACCTCCAAAGCCACATGCATAGTCCAGTGCTACTTGCAGAGCAGTTGTTGAAGCAGCGGAGCTGGCTACACACCAAGTCCCCCCAGTAGATGGCCCCGGATTGTTGCTTGGGTTTGGGTTAGGATTAGGATTTGGGTTCGGGTTAGGATTAGGATTTGGGTTTGGGTTAGGATTAGGATTTGGGTTTGGGTTAGGGTTAGGATTCATGAATGGACTAGGGTTCGTGATAGGCTGTGTGGTAGATGGTGGTGGTGGACTATCCATCGTGGGGTCTGGATATGTCGTACCTGGGGTTGTTGGATTAATAATGGGAACATCTAGCTGGTCAGAATACATGGAAGGTGAAATGGCAATGTCCTCCTCTTGGAATGCAAGTTTTTTGCTTTTCCTGATGGCTTCTGTGGGATGCTTGTCTGCAATGCTTGTACCTGAAGTAAGTGTAAATACCAGATAGGTGTCAGTTTCTTCTTTCTTTATTCTTTAGATTCTGCATGTTGAAAGAATTAGTAGTATATCACAAGGTTGTTTCATATTTGATTCCATATCACATTCTTGAACCAAGAACTTGTTGTTCTTAGCAGTTGTATTATCTTCAGAAAAATGGAGCTTCATAAGAACTACTTTTTATGTTTGAAATTTCTTGGAGAAAGGCTAACTCCTTTGAGTAAGCTTTTCTATTAGAATATATATTGTCAAAACTTGTAAATTGTCATTCAGTAGCCTATATCTGTGCAAAAACTGGACTTATGAAATCATTAAAATTATTTGTACGTACATAATCCAAATTGATTAAATTGAAATGTTTCACAGGAATTAAAAACTTACAACAGTGCATGCATGCAAGAGAACATTGAGATGGTAAAACAAATGAATTCAAATGAGGTGCAAAGGAGCTGAACAAAATTGAATAGTTCATTCAATAAATGTATATTCCTCTATTCAGCTCAACATAATCTCATGTATAAATTAACTCCCAAATTAGTTTGCCATCAATTGCAAACTTCAATTTTTTCAATGGAAATATCGAAAACTAGCAAACCAACAGTTGCAACATATCGAAATATCTATAGTCCAACGGAAGACTATAATGGAAGGATCAAAAGCCAAGAAATGGTAGAAATATCACTTAAAATTTACCATAGTTAAAGATTATTTATAACATTTCGAAACATTATAAAAGAAAAAGGGGCAACAGAGTGATATTCACCTGAAAAAATCAAGAGGCAAAAGAGGAAACAGCAAGAAATCCTCATAGCTACTTGTTCAATAGATTTTCTGTACTTGTTTTCTATGAGAGAGTTTGTTTGTAATGAGAATAATATTAGTTTTCTCAAAGAAGAGAAGCACTAGAAATGTAAGCTGTGAAGAGGAAGCAATCATTTGTTGCTGCATGTAATGTATATATATAATTTTATGATAAAGTTAAGGAGGGAACAGAATCGTAGCTTTCTTGCATTAGAGTACAGGTTTATTGAGTTTTAATTTAGAGGAATATAAGAAAACTTGAGAAATGAGGCATGAGGTTGCTAGAAACTGCAAGCAATTGGAGGTGCCTCAATAGCAAAAGGTTGTTGCCTCAATAAGGCAAAAGCCAACAAAAGCTAATCTAGTTTTGGATGAAATTCTAAAGTTGTATGTTTGGACACCACTCTATGTTGTTGTTTTTTATAACCGTAGTGTACGAGTCAGCTAACACGCACCTCGACTAATCCCACCAGATTTGAAATTGTAACCTCATAATCCTCAAATACACTTCATTAGCCACTTAGGTGTAGAACACCACTATGTAGTTACTAGATTGTATCAGAACAGTAAATTCAAAGACACAACATAGTGTTTCGTTATACAAGTGGTAATTACATAATTAGATTTTTTTTAAAAATATTACACAACAATATGGTGGTAGAGTTTGTTACAATTTTCTTCCTCTTTTTTTTCTGTCTACCTTTTCACTGTTATACAATACCTCGAGAGGTAAAGTAACAAGGAGAAGGGAAAATGACAGTTTTTTGTAGTTTAGTATTGCTTTACATTTTATGCTCTGAGGGTAAAAAGTTATGGGATATCTTGCCAAATTTTCCTTTGCCTGTTGAATATTTGACAATCTTATGAAGTGTATAGATTCAAACTGTCCAAAGAAAAGCCTATAGAAACTACTACTATGAGACAATGCTTACCTTTTCATCGTTTCTATTGTATTAATAATTGCATTTTGATACCATACTTCATAATAGCAGCCTAATCAAGATTTCTACTACATAATAGAGTCATGTCTACACTTTACATCATCAAAAATCATATCTTGTTCACATGGCCACAAAAAAAACATCAAAAAGGAAAAATTAAGGTAACTTCAACTTTACCTTTTCTGGCCCCTGTCCCTTTCCTCAGGTGTTACACAAACTTTTGAAGTTTAATCTTAGCCCCAAATAATCCTTGGCCTAGAGATGAACTTTTTTCAAATACTACGTAAAATTCTGGAGACACAACTCAGCTGGCAAAGGAACTGATTGTGGTATTGTCTTTTTACCAAAAAATAACAGTGGTCTGGGTGACACTTGAAGTGACTACAATGAGAATTTGTGCGACCAGATGTTCATACAAAAGTACACCTCATTAGGGAACATCTAAGACAACTGTGTTTTTTTTATTCCCAAAACATCTAGTTATTCTAAAAGTTCGTCTTCATAGAATCTCGTCAATCCACCTACAGAGTGAGAGGGAGGAGTGAGGAACAATTTGATCCACTGTGAAGTTTCAAACTCCAGCCGAATAGGAATTTCCTCTGTTATCAAAATGAGGCACAAATCCCATCATAGAATTGATTTACATTTACTCAAAATGTGTATACAATATGAACTGTTGGTTGTATCAGGTAAATTACTAGTTATTTATGTACACACCGTGTGCTACTATCATCCATAGGCACCTGCTATCAGTAAGATAAATACAATGACACAACTCAGCTGGTTCTGGCTACTAATTTCATCATCCAGTGGCCAGTTCTGCATCTTGATAGATTAAAGTTGCTGATATTGATCTGATTTGTTCTTCAAGATGCTGCCTAGGCAATAGAAGAGTATGCATTATGTACTTTGTTTCTTCCTGTTGATGTTCAGGTAAAGGGTGAAGCTAAACGACTGTGAAGGTTAACATCTGTTAATATCATATCAAACTGAGTGTTGCACGACCGAAGGACTACCCCAAGTTATTCATCCGTCATGATGAAGAATCAGAATGACACTGAAAGGAAAACGAGCGAGCTGTATGTGACAGAAAGAGCCATGATAAGAAACCATAAGTTAATAAAGAAACAAGAAGAAGAAAATAGAAACCCTTACCTTATCCATCTTGTTGTTTGTGGCACTTTGACAAATGATTGTTGACTTCATTCCAAGCTGCAAATATTATTTAGTTTTATATTCAGAGAAACAGAATGCTGTTGACACATGTAATGATGTAAATAGGAGCCTCTTACCAGGAAAATTCCTGAAATCTGGTTCAACTCCATTGCCATTAATATCCATGTGATTTGGTGTGACATACTTCCCAATTGTTACAACCACGCCCGACCCATCGGGCAGCTCGAATACAGACTGAATCAGCCCCTGAAATGATGTTAAGAATACAGTGATGTTGTCCCTCAGAAAGAAGACCAGCAAACCTACCATCCCATACACCAAAATTTTCTAGCTACCAAGTACCAATATAAAGATTTAGTTGGCTTCAGATCAATTTTCAAGCTACTCCAACTTCACAGAGAAAGGTCATATACACCAACTGCATGGAACTACTCCCAACAACTAAAACAACATAATTCAAAATAATTGATTACAAAGTATGTATCTTTGAAGTTTGAAATGGTCCCCCTTGGGATCTAGTTACCTAAGGAATAGTGTTTCTTCCTACACTTCCCCTTGACCTGTGTAATCGTATGCATCTCAGCACAACTCAACACTTCTCAAAAATAGCTACTGCAATGGTTGTAGCAATTGCTAGGAACACGTGTTTAGAAATAAAGTAGTCTTAAAGGAGCTGCAACAGAAATGCTGCAGATCAGGAACAGGAAGGAGTTGAGAGCCCCTACTCAGCCACTCCTCTGTTCTTAAGTGTGCCCCTCTTTAGAACAAATGAATATTTTAATCATTACTAATGCTAACTGTTTTTCCCTTTGACTGCTAATTACACTGGCCATAATAGAGGTTTATCAGTCCTCGCAACAACAAATAGTGGTAGCAGATTAGTTAAGGATTCATTTAGATCCCCTTTACATAAGCAGGACTATAGCACCAGGAAACCATCAAGAAGATAAATTTTTAGGTTGGTAGTTAGGGAAAAGATTTCAACTGGTAGACATAATTGATTCTGTTCAGACGATTCAGAAAGCACTGGTTATTTCATTGAAACAAATGATTTGATTACTTTTTCTCTAAAATGAATGAATTGGCAATATCTAGCAATCATAATTTGCCTCTGGGCATGAAGTCAATGTAAAAAGAGATGACTTAATTAGGGGCATAGTTAGCTCAGTCTAGACAAATAGCTTTTATCTTCATCTTGGTCGCATAAAAAATCATAACCAACGGAATATGCCACAGTTGACAATGAAATCTAGAGGTTGCAAAGTGGGTATGCGGGTCTTAAATGGATTGCACGAAAGGTTGTCGCAGCCTCATGTGCATTAGTTGTTCAACTATTATTTTTGGCCTCGGGCCAGTACAGTTAGCCTCATCCCACAAATTCCCAAGTCCCATGCATATTCAATGTATTCTACCGTGCTATTTTGTCAATGATAGAGAATTAACAAAAGTGACTCTATATCAAGATTTTGTAACGTTTTGAGGACTGGCAAATGAAATGAAATAATGCAAAAGCAGAAAGTAGGTTAAGAAAAGAGTGATGGTAAAGGTTCACATCCAATCAGGTCATCAGAATATGAGTGTACACTGCACAGCATTTTGAATTTTTGATCATGGTAATGAAACATTAAGAAATTTCTTTAGTTCTACTTATGCATGTAGATGATTGTAAACACTTTCTGGGGGAAATAAAGCAGCCCCACAACTGGATATGCTCTCTCTAGTATACTGCTAACAATTTAGGATTGAGGAGTAGTTGATAAATATAGTACACCGTTGAGACATTGAGAAAAGTTACTTTATAACTTATAGAGATGTGCGTAATACTAACTAGTATGCCAATAAAGAAGTTCAAATATTGAAAAGAGAAACCAAAGTAACTAGAAATTCAGACCTTGCCATATGTCTTATCTCCCACGAGAACAGCTCTGCAATTGTCGTGAAGTGCAGTTGCAACCTGAAATGAAATTCATAAATTAGAACACAAATATTTCAGCCCTTCAAGAACTAGTATGGCAATGTAGTGTTAGTAGCTCACAATTTCACTAGCACTTGCAGTACTTTTGTTAACCAAAACCTGCATTGGAAGTTACTAAATCCATCAGAGTGGTAAAGACAAATAGTAACTTTTGAGAACTAGAAGAGAAAAGAACATCTTCTTGAATTTGCAACAATAACCAGAGTCTCTCTATGATTCTACAGTCAAGAAACTGTAAGCTCAAAATCAAATTGTTTGATCTTATATCAGCTGTTTATTTCATTTATCCATTGCTATTAGCAACTTCAGCTAATTTAAGGAATCTACTCGTTAAGTTTCAGCCATGCATTATCTTATGATTCTATAATCAGGAAAATGTTAGCACAAACCACCAAAACGTTATATATGATTACCTGTTTATTTCATTTATCCATTTCTCTTACCAACCTCAACAAATTTAAGGCATCAAATATTAAAGTTTGTGACAGCTTCAAGCAAAAACTCAAGCTAATGCTGAAGCATGACATATAACCGGACTAAAAGTCAATATCTAACACTTCTTAGACTTATACGGTAAAACTGCAAACTTTGAATATGTCAGTGGTCAATATACCTTAAAGAAATTGGGGCAGCATGTGGTTTAATTCGATGCAAAGCGAAATCAGAAACAAACTTTGCCTTACATCTACAATCCACTTGACCGTAAAAGCTCAAGGGTTTTTGCTCAAAGTGAAGTCTGCTTCATTTTGACAGCGGAAGTTTCCAAGTTTCTCATTCAGAATGAAACTAATGGAATTGTTCATTCAAAAAAAAAAAAGAGGGAAAAAATGTAATTTGAAGAAAGTTTTGATGGATTCTTCTATTTCACAAGTGATATCACCAAATGGCTTGTAACAATGACAAGAAAAATATGCAATTGAAAGAAAATATTGAAGAATTCTGCTGTTTTAGAGTAGACATCTGAGATGTGGACTCTTATATGCCTTACAATTACTGGAGCTGTAATAAGAGGTGGAGCTTCTGCAACAATATTC